TTGGGATCCGGTGGTGGAGAGGGTGGAGAGGAGGCTTGCGAGGTGGAAGAAGCAATATTTATCAAAAGGTGGGAGGGTTACCTTGTTGAAAAGCAGTTTGTCGAGCATTCCTACATATTTTTTATCCCTTTTCCAGATTCCGTCCTCGGTTGCTCCTTCTATTGAAAGACTTCAGACAAACTTTTTATGGGGAGGTTGGGGGGATGAGTTTTAAGTATCATCTGGTTCGTTAGGAGCAGGTGTGTAAGCTTGTTAAGTTCGGAAGAATTGGGATTAGGAGACTGCTGCCTTTTAATAGGGCCCTTTTAGGTAAGTGGTTGTGGAAGTTTGGTATTGAGCGGGATAGGTTGTGGAGAAGGGTTATCTTGTGTCGCTTTGGGGGAGAAGAGGGAGGAGGGGGGTGGGGGGTTCTGTTGTGGTGTCTATTCTTGGAGGCGTTGGTGTTTGGAAAGCCATTCAGAAGGGATGGAATGAGTTTTCTAGGCATATCAGATTCAGAGTTCATGATGGTACGGAGATGCAGTTTTGGGAGGATTTGTGGTGTGGAGATCGCACTTTAGCATGTTCTTTCCCCAAACTTTTTAGGATTGCGGCTAATAGGCATGTCTCGATGGCTGACTGCTATCGCCTTGATAACGAGAGACCGGTTTAGGACGTGCTTTTTCAACTATCTTTTCAGAATTTGGAGATGGATGATTTCTTTGGTTTCTTAGAGTTGTTGTACAGCTAGGTGGTCTGTGGAGGAGGTAGGGATTCTCTTGTTTGGATTCCTTCTTCTAGGGGAATGTTTAGTGTGAGATCTTTCTTCGGATGTCTTTTGGACCTAGCTGGGGTGGTATTCCCTTGGAAGGCAGTGTGGAAAACCAAGGCGTCGTTGAAAGTGGCTTTATTTGCTTGGACGGTTGTGTGGGGTAAAATATTGACACTGGATAATTTAAGGAGGAGAAAGCATATCATGGTGAATTGGTGTTGCATGTGTAAGCTTAATGGCGAATCGGTTGGCCATCTTCTTTTGTATTGTCCAATAGCGGTCGAATGTTGGAATCTCTTGTTAGGATTATTTGGAGTTCACTGGGTCATGGCTAGATCTACGAGAGGTGTGATGGACACCTGGAGAGGGGGTAGGGTGGGAGCACAGGCTCGAGGGTTTTGGAGGATGGCGCCCTTGTGTCTTTGGTGGTGTATGTGGAGGGAGTAGAATAGAAGATCCTTTGAAGGAGAGGAATCTTCGGTTATTGTTCTCAAATCTTATGTTATTAGCTCTTTATTTTTGGGGGGTTCGGGTAGACTGTGTTCCTCTGCTGAGGAGACTATTGAGTTTTTGGTTTCCCTGGAGCCTTATGGTACCCAGGTTTTTGTGGTCTTGTAGGGACAAGTTCCCCTTTTGATCGGTTTTAATGAATTGCTTATTTATCAACAAAAAAAAAAAAGTCAGAAACCTCCCCCACAATGTCATGTCGATAAAGCAACCCCAAAAACCAAGAGTAGTGATACTCACACCGTAGACTTATAGTGAATTGCCTAATCGAATGGTTTTTGATTGGTTATTTATGCTAAATACAAGTAAGTGGAGGGCCCCACTTCCTTATTTATTGCATAAATGACCAATTAAAAGCAGTAGGTTTAGGGCCCGTTTCCTAACGCTTTTACTTTCTGTTTTTTACTGCCAATTCCTAAAAATGTGAAGTAAAAGTAAAAATTATATTTATTAATATACTCTTACTTTTTCACTTTTAGAAAGTAATTTCAAATTTAATGAAGGAAAGAGAAAGTGAGAAAATGATGATTTCTGTGATTTCTCCACTGTACATAGGAATTACTTTCCTTACTGTAGTAGTATTACTGTAGCACTATTTATCCAAAAAAAAAAAAAAAATCCCAAAATCCTCCCATTGCCCATCCGCCACCTCCTCCCCGCCATGGCCGCCGCCTCCTACCACCTCCTCTCACTGCCCACAACCATCTTTCTCCTCTCTAAACCCATCAACAATTTACCCATCCCTGTGCCATGTATGAAACTCACTCCTTCTCTTACACACACACACACACACACTCTGTACTCATAGGGCTTCGATTTCTTGTTGTTTAGCTAGGGCGTAGCAAGCGGTAGTGAATATATGTATAATTAATGGATTTCTTAAGAACCCGAAACGGATCCCCTTGACTTGAAGGGATGTGGCAGAGGAAGAGAAGGAAAGTGAATTCGGCTCCCTGTACAATTGAATAGCCCCATCTTATTCACTGTTGTAGAGAAACTTGTTTGCAATAAATGACTTGGTGCCTCCCCAAGCAAGTGGGAAAAGTTCATGGACCTAGATAGACCTAGACCAGTGCCATGAGCAGCTATTACATCAAACCCAAAAAAAAAAAAAAAAAAAAAATTAGAGAGAGGAAGATAACAGAAAAGTAAAATTAAAATCAAAATTATTAAACTTTCTGTTTTTTACTTTTAAAATATTAAAAGTAAAATCTGCTTATTAAACATCATTTTACTTTCTATTTCATCTAAAAAAAAGTAAAATCATGATTTTACGTTTGAAGAAAGTAAAAGTAAGAAAGTGAAAGCGTTTGTAAATGGGCCCTTAGTAATTCACTACAACTATTCGGTGCAAAAATCATTTTCCAAAAACCAATGGCATCCTCAACCTCCCAATCTTGAAAATGCCTCAAAAAAACGAACATCCCAAACCGTACACTCACTATCAAGACAATAGCAGTCAACCACTAAGGCATGTCTATTTGTAGCAATCCGAAAAAGTCTAGGGAAGATGAGAGCGAGAGGGCGATCACCACACTATGCGTCCTCCCAAAAACTAATGCACTTATCATCCCTAACTTGAAATCTGATGTGTTTGGAAAATTGATTCCATCCCTTACGGATGAAAACCCCAACTCCACTTGGAGCTCTCACCACAGAGGAACACCAACCTCCACGTGCTACCCCAAACCTGCATGCAATCACCCTCCTCTAAAGTCTTTGCCTTTCCACCCCAAATCTCCACAGCAACTTTCCCAAAAGAGCTTTATTGAAATGCACCAGTCTTCTGAATCGGAGTGCAGACCCTCTCCCAACTAACCAAGTGAAACTTAAACTCCTCCCCTTTGCTGCCCACAAGACGTTCCGTTGCAATCTTTTAATCCTCTCAGCCACTGAAGATGGAATCCAGAAAATAGAAAGGAAATAAGTATGAAGACAAGATAGAGTGCTCTTCATAAGAGTAACTCTCCTGCCTTTAGAAATATACTACTTCTTCCAACCGGTCAATCTTTAGAAAGATACTGCTACCCACTCTTCTAGAAGAAGTCCCAAGCGGCATACCCAAATAGGAAATGGGAAGAGAACCAACACTGCACCTCAAGATTTGAGCTAAGGTGGGAATCTCAGGAACCTCCCCAACCGGAACTATAACACTCTTACCCACATTCACCTTCAAACTAGAAACAATTTGAAACCTAGTCAAAACACACCTCAGTTCATCTGAGACACGTCCGCATCACAGAAAATGGAAGTGTCATCCGCAAATATCAAATGAGAGATCTCCAACTGACTAGCAACTTTCCTTCCCACCCTAAAACCTCTCAAAAAACCCAAATCTACTGCCCTTAAATCATCATTCTGCTGAAAGCCTCCATCACAATAAGGAACAAAAAGGGGGAAAGCAGATCCCGTCTCAACCCCCTCGAACTGCCAAAGAAGCCCGTCGGAACTCCATTCACAGGGACCGAGAAACGAGCACTAGAAATACAAAACTCAATCCATTTCCTCCATCTCTCGCCAAATCCCATCCTCTCTAGAATATAGAGGAGGAAACTCCAACTAACATGATCGTATGCCTTCTCGATATCCAACTTGCACGCCTAGAATCCCGGCACTTCGTCTAGAGTCGACACACTCACCAACAATAAGCACAGAATCTAAAATCTGACGACCTCCAAAAAACGCATTTTGAGACTCCTAAATGCCCCCATCCAAAACAGCCCTTAATTTCAGAGTCTGGACCTTTGCAATTAGTTTATAGATACACCCCACCAAACTAATAGGTCTAAAGTCCTTCACGTCTGTCGCTCCTCCCTTTTTTTGGAATAAGGGCAATAAATGTGGCATTTAGGCTTCTCTCAAAACGCCCCTGGTGATGAAAAGCATGAAAAGTGCCCATCACCTCCCCCCCAACCACCTCCCAACTTGAGAAAGAATCTCATAGAAAAACCATAGGGGTCCAGAGCTTTGTCGGCGTTGCAACTCTTCAACGCCTTCAACACTTCTTCAGAAAAAAGCCTTTCCAACCCATCTCTATCTTCCCCTGAAATAGCGTCAAAATGGAGTCCCCCAAGCAAAAGACACCAACTCGACGTTTCTGTGAACAACTTCTGGTAAAAAGAGACAATCCCCCCACGAACCTCTTCCAGACAAAAGCATCCCATCCACCACAATCCTCCCAATATGGTTACCTCTTCTGTGGGCATTTGCAAGCCGATGAAAGGATTTCGTTTTTCTATCCCCTCCTTCAGCCATTGAAGCATGGTTTCTTAATGATGGGTGAATGATTTGTTCATCATCCTTGCTTTATTGTAATGAGTTAGTAGCTTCTAATTGAAGAATACTAGAAAATGTTCCAAAAGTAATCATATCATTACTTTTCTTTTTTCATTTTTAAACATTAAATTTTACATCATCAGTTTTCCTATTAATAAATCATAATGGCACTTGTTTTGCATGTTGGTATTATCTATTCCATGTACAGGGCAATGATGCTGGTAACAGTTAACTTGGTTTAAATCTTAATGCCTTCAACACTTCCTGTTTTTGATATTTTATCTTTTGCTTTTATATGCATATGGTATTAAATTCATATTTTTATTCCGAATCATTTATAGAAGGTAGACTGATGCTTTCTTATACACTGTTGATGTCTGATATATCACTAGCTCCCACCATTTCTGATGGTGCATTAACATTCCCTTTAATTTACAAAGAGCAACCAAACATTGTCTGTTTTCAGCTGGCTCTTTGTTCCTGTTTGATCGTAAAGTACTACGATATTTCCGTAAAGATGGTCATCGTTGGAGGAAGAAAAAGGATGGGAAAACTGTCAAAGAAGCTCACGAGAAGTTGAAGGTGTGCTGTTCATTCTTTGTTTTTTTTGCAAGTTGATGTTTTTATTTTAGCCATAAGCAATGTAGTGAAAGGTTTCAAGGTATTTCCACACCTAGCTGAGCCTCTTATCTAAGTAGTGGTGGAGTGATCTAGTTTGGGGGGCGGCTCTTCAATGCGTTCATAGTTTCTGAAACTAACTTATTATACTTGGCAATTCACTTGTAGCTTGTGTTTGAACACAAACCTTGTTCATTGACTTTTTTAAATGGACAAGTATTATGGCAATACGAAATGAAAGATGGACCTTAAAGTTGGGATGTGGGGCCGCTCTTCAATGCGTTCATAGTTTCTGAAACTAACTTATTATACTTGGCAATTCACTTGTAGCTTTTGTTTGAACACAAACCTTGTTCATTGACTTTTTAAAATGGACAAATATTACGGCAATACGAAATGAAAGATGGACCTTCAAATTGGGATGTCATATGGAAATAGTATATTTTGACTAATAATTTGTTTTGAATCCAGGACTAATTATCCGTTTTCATCTTCAAATTGGCATCTGATGAGTATTTACTTTCTATTTGCTTCTTTTTGCGTATTTTATGTTAGTAGGTATAGGATTGCAGGGATTTCACGGATGCTTCACACTATTTTCTAATGTCATTCTCTATAATTTCTTTAAGTGGGTACAAAGGTCAAAAGTATGCTGTGGATGAATTTCAAAATTTATTAGCTATATGTGACACTTTTTACATGTCTAAATTTTTATGGACATTCAGAGGTTATATGAAGGTAGAATATGAATTAATTATTTTGTCACATGGTCTATATCCGCATTAACTTAGCCACCGGTCTAATTGCCTATGTTCTTTGACTATACTAATTGTAGCATATCATAATAACCATGTGGTTGGTGTTTTGCTAATGGCATTCCATTTTCTGCATTCTTAGTGCTGAGGTCGTCCTTGTAGTTCATTTTGATTTTGATAGCAAGGCCTCGTGTTATTCTACTTTTTAATGACTGTTCACATTGAAACATGTTATGGATTAGATCATTTTTGGACATGCTATATAATCTTCACTCTCTGTTGCTATGCTTATTTTTCTCATCTGGTTTCTATAGGTTGGCAGTGTTGATGTTCTCCATTGCTACTATGCCCATGGAGAGGATAATGAGAACTTTCAGCGACGAAGTTATTGGATGCTGGAGGAGTGAGTGCTGCTGTTTCCTTGTGTTTAAGCTGTAATAATTTGAACTGCTGTTTCTTTTAACTGCTCTTAATGTCACTTTAGTAGCCTGAGGGGACCAGCACATTTGAATAGGCATTTTTTTTTAATTTGAGATGGTCTAGATGTTATTTTTCTCTTTATTATATGAGCCTATGAGGTGGCCTGGATGACATTATCTATCAGGGGTTATGTAGGCATAGCGGTTAATGAAACCATTTATGGTTAAATAATGATTGGTCGATCTGTTAAGATGTCACATTTAATTATTTATTTATTTATTTTTGTTGGTGTTGGTAGTTCTTTATGGATTGCCAGAGGCAGCATCATGTTGCTTAAGCAAACCTGAACTGGTGGAATGATCTGATTTTCCACCTCCGCAGTCCATTCAAGTATTCCCAAAGGAGAAAAGGGAAGTGAAATAAATTGAGAGAGAGAGAGAGAGAGAAACCTGTGGAATATAGGCTTTGAGAAACCTATGGGTATAAACTTTGAATCTTCTCATCAGAAACTATCTTCTATTCAGCTTTAGCAACCCTGTGATGTGATTTTCTCTAATTATTGGCTTGAAAACTTGCATTCTGCCCTGTACTCACTAGATGAGTTTTACATTTTAAGTTTGTAGGTCTATAAAATATGATGAATACTAGTTGAATTGTTTTTCCATATCCTGGTTTTCCACTTGTATAGGACTATTCTTTTTTTCAGCACTAATTCTCATTCTTTGCTTTATTTTCCCTGTTTCAGGAAGTTAGAGAACATTGTTCTCGTCCATTACAGAGAAGTGAAAGAGGTAGATCTCGGCACAAAGTTCTAGGCATGACCTTCATGCTTTTGTTAATTTTCAGCCTCATTTGGAATTCTAAAACCAAATCAGAGTTATTTTAATTTTGGGAGTGATAAAGAAACTCTGTTTTGCTTTTGTGCAAGTGAGAATGCTTATATGTTAATATTGCATGTTCAATTTCATACTAGCATATACTCACACCTAGACAATATATGCACATGTATCTGTTTGTGTGTGGTGTATGGAGATGCAGCATGATATATTTATATGTATGTGTATATCATTGTTCTCAACTGTTATTGCAACTAATTGGCTTTGCAATACGGCTATTACAGTCTGAGTTGCTATGCATTTTGTTTTTCTTTTTTGAAGTTTTTTTATAGTTTTTAATTCACTTATTTGGTTAGGTAGCCTATTCTACATTTCCAACTTGGCATTAAAAGATGATTCTTATAACCAGCTAAATGGTCTTATTATGCTGCGTAAGTGCAACAAATAATAGATTTTAGCTAGTTAATTAATGGAAGAAGATCGTGTAATAGTATTTTGGATTAAATCAAATTCTTTGAAGTTGTAAACCCAAAGGCACTATATTTATGAGGTCATGTTGCCTAATTGTTCCATATTCATTGAAAGGCCATAAATTTGACACAAAACTTCCCATTCTTTAGCTTCTATTGCCTCTTTATACATGCTTGTAAACTTGTGGTTGTTATTTTCAGTGTGTAAGGACTTGCAATTATGTTATCCATTGGTTGAATGTGGAACAGATTAGTTGACTTTCATGTAAATTCCTAATTTATATCTCACGTGGCATACGCTGATTTTATTTTAAACATGCTATGCAGGGGTACAAATTAAATGTCTCGCGTTTGCTAAATGCAGATCCAGGATCACTGCTCGGAAGTTCTCAAACTAGTTCAGCACATTGCTTGGTGCAAACATATTCTCCTACTCCTACAGGTCAAACATCTTATGCATCAAGTCCAAATGCAGTTGAATGGAATGAACAATCATTGATTTCGGAATTTGAGGATGGAGATCCTGGAGAAGATCCAGGGACCTCTTCTCGTGTTCGACCAATGCTTGGTTCTGTATCACATAATATTACTTTGCATGCAGAAAAAGCTACAGGTAAAATTGCCTTGCAACGTTTGCATGCTCTTCCTTATCCCTGTAACACAGAAACTACACTACCATAAGTTTCAGTTACTGCAAAATGTTGAGTACTTCTTCTGTTTTGTAAATGATTAGGCCATAAACATGTTAGTGAGCATTAGAAGGATTTTCTGAATTCTGATGTCATCTATTCTTATTTCTTTGAATATGTAAAGGAATCCAGTTTTACGGCAATTTCATTATCAGTGATGTTTGGTTCACAAAAACATTTTCTGTTTGTCATTCTGGTTGGTTAGTAGGAGCTGAGTTCTTCCTTCTCACAAATCAAATAAAATAAAAAAAGGAAAAAAAGACTAAGGAGGATCTGAAAGACGTGATGGATGTCACAGCAATTCTATTCCAAGTCATCTTATTTGGGACTTATTCAACTTCATTGTGTAATTTTTAGATGAAATATATTGACAAAGTTTATCGAACCTGCTGAAAACAATTTTATTTTAGCCTTTCTAAAGGGGTACATTCTTTGTTCTCCTAACATATTCCAGTATTCCACCATTGGTTGAAAGGCACCTCCTTCCTTCCAGTTTACTTTTCTTTCTCTACGAGATCTGTTAAATATTAATTTCTTCTCTCTTTTTCTAAATTATCTGCATCCCTTCTTCCTCAGGTATAATAGATGGTCTGTGGTACATGTTTAGTTGGAAAACTGGCTATAATGAATAATGTATATATCTTTTGTTTTTTTGAATTTTTTGTAATGTTTTTTAATTTAATCTTTGAAGAAGCAGAAAAAATTGACCATAACTGCTCAAAAAAGTTGAGGGGTTAATTCAATTTCAACAATGTTGTATGTATATGTATGATTTATTGAATTTACTTTTTTAAGATTTAAAATATTGATTGCCTTGCTGCTTTTCAGGATTTCTTAATCATGGCACTAGTTCATCTGCATGGGATGATATTCATGGCTTGAGCAGACATGTAAATAATATGTGTGACCAAAAATTTTGCTTTGAGCAACCGAGTGCAGCTGATTTTTTAACTCATAAGCTAGTAGATGCCAGATTGGATGCTGATAGCAAAGTGCAGGATGCGAGCTGTGGAGATACGTTCTTTCCTGATTCTCGGAGAGTTGTTCAGGTATGTCTTCTGCACTGTGTGCAAGACTTTTTACATGTCAGTCCTCTTTCTTTTTCTTTTTCATATATACATATATATATATATATATTTTTTTTTTTTTGGTGTGTGTGTGTGTGTGGGGGGGGGGGGGGGGGTTGGGTGGTAAGGAAGAGTGAGGTTTAGGGGCCCTATATGGCCTTGTGTAGCTTTCGCGGGTTGCGTTCCCCTTTATGAACACTGTCTCATACAATATTTACTTATCAAAAAAGAAAATAAAAGAAAGGAAGAGTGAGAAATCAAAACATCAATGAAATGCAGGTAACACCATCTTGGGGCTAGAGAGTCAGATGACTGAAAATCATACATGTAAAGAACGTTGGTGACTGGAACAGAAAACGGGAAAAACAGTTCAGATTGAATTTTTGTTTTCTGATATATACTGATAAGTAAGATTGTATTAGAAAGCATTCAAACGGGGAACACATCCCATAAAAGCTCCCAAGGCCAAAAAAGGGTCTCTAAACTCTCAAAGAGTCCACAAAATCAACCATCTCTCCCATGGAATTACAATTTCTCCCAAAAACACCACAAAAAAGAGAACAAATAATAAAGAACTTTAGCCCCAATAGGAGTCTCCTCACCATCAAAGGATCTCCTATTTCTTTCTGATGTATAGAATTCGTGTTTTATTAGTTCACTTGTGAGGAGGTTATTGAGTTCCAATGCTCGATTTTTCTGCTGTAATTAGTTACATTAATTTTTAAATATAAGTGACATTGAATGACTATTTTTCAAGTTGCTTTTAAATAGACTCTTGATATTCGTTTACTCTCCCAAAAGGATTCACAATGTCATGAAATAAGGTATATTCTTAAATGAATTGGTCCAATTCTTTTTTTTTTTTTTTTTACTTCAATAGGTGGGTAGGTAACTAGGCATCATGATGATATTCCACTAAAATTGTACCGTTTTAGTTTAGTAACACATACGAACATGAGAAAGGGGCGCAGAAAGACACAGATATATTGAATTGACACGTCCAGTATTTAAAAAGTAGGGGAAGAACACAATGTTACATTATTTTTATTTATACAATTTATTGAGTAAAACAATTAATAGAACATTAATTAAATTTTAATTTCTATATTGTATAAATTAGAAGATGAAGCTGTACAAATAACGTAATGATTATTTTATATATATATTCCTAAATGGCTTTGTATTAAAAGGATAAAACAATAAAGTACAGGGTTAAAGTGGAGGCATACCCCCACTCTACATACCAATGGAACACGATGTTACATTATTTTTATTTATACAATTTATTGAGTAAACAATTAATAGAACATTAATTAACTTTTAATTTCTATATTGTATAAATTACAAGATGAAGCTGTACAAATAACATAAGATTATTATATATATATATATTCCTAATTGGCTTTGTATTAAAAGGATAAAGCAATAAAGTACAGGGTTAAAGTGGAGGCATACCCCTACTCTACATACCAATGGAACACGATGTTACATTATTTTTATTTATACAATTTATTGAGAAAAACAATTAATAGAACATTAATTAACTTTTAATTTCTATATTGTATAAATTAGAAGATGAATCTGTACAAATAATGTAATGATTATTATATATATATATATATTCCTAAATGGCTTTGTATTAAAAGGATAAAACAATAAAGTACAGGGTTAAAGTGGAGGCGTACTCCCACTCTACATACCAATGGAAGTGAAATAGGTCCATTTCCTATAAGAAGAAAAAGAAAAACTAAAAGGCTAAATACAATCAACCAACTGCAAGACTTTTGAATCATCTAAAGAAACTGAAGCAAGATCCAAGACCTCACAAACAGGTATTCTGGCGACAACAACAGCAGGAATGTGACAACCATCATGTAACCTATGATTTCTAGCTGTCCACAATCCACTCACAGTAGTAGTAGAGAACATTTTAAAGATAACTATGTCTTTTAGAGCTCTGTCTGAATGAATTGACACACCAGATGATAAACTGATCGAAGGAAGAGATTTCAGAGATATTCCAGCCTGCAAACTCAGAAATCCAAGCCCAAACCTCATTGGCAAAGGTGCAAGACCAGAAAAGGTGGTTCGCTGAATCAGATCTCCCATACAGGGTTTTTTTTTTTTTTTTTTTTCGATAAGTAAGAATATATTCAATAGGGGAACGCATCCCAAAGACTATACAAAGGCCAAAGCCAAAGAAAAGGTCCCAAGGAACCCAACAAAATCAATAATTTCGTCTATAGATTTCCAATTTCTCCCCATCACCCAACTATAAAGAGAACTAATAATATGAAATTTCAAAGCCCCAATGGAAGATTCGTCCCCATCAAAAGATATACTATTCCACTGCTTCCAAATACACCACCAAACGCAATGGGGTGCCGCCCTCCAAAAATCCCAGGCGTGGGCCCCCACTCTGAAACATCTCCAAGCATCAATCAAACCCTTCGAAGACAGACGCATAACCCATTGGACTCCGAACAAACCAAAGATAAGGTTCCCCCATAGAGTTATGACAAATTGCAGTCAAATGGATCCCCCTGTTTTGAAGATTAATGAAGCTTGGCAATCTGTCAAGAATGGCCAAAACTGTGGTAACAGAAGTTCTTGGCTTTCCTTTATTCCAAACAAGAGAAAACCAAGGAACCTTGGGATTTTTAACTCCAATTTCTCCCAAACAGCCTTAAAAGAGCATCTACCACTTGCCCAACAAATAGTATTCTCTCTGTTTGAAATGGGAAATCATTAATCAAATTCCATGCCTCCGTGTTGGTTAGATTTTGTGGTTCAACCCAGTTCGTCTTATTAAGAATTTCTGCAACTGTTGAGTCTTTCCTAAGGCCAAAATCTCTTAAAATTCTGTGACCAAATCTGCCGACCAAGGATTGTCTATCTAAACAAGGGTTAGTGAATAATCTGAATGCATCAGCGGTACCAATTCTGAATGTGGAGTGTAGAAGCAAATCTTCTCTTACCTCCAGTAATGCCTTCCATAAAGGTGAAGAACATTGGAAGGAATGGCATCCCAATAGGAGGCATACCTTCTCTTGCACCAATTAATCCAGTTTATGTCCTTATCTTGGACATAATCCCAAGCTAAAATACATTGGGCAGATCTACTGATCTCACTACTTTTGTTAACCCAAAACAACCCCCTTATTTTGGCATGGAAACTGTGGACCAATTAAGAAGGTGCATCTTCTTATTGACATCCCTATCACCCCAAAGAAAAGCTTTCAGCTTCTTCTCTAAGATATGTATCACAACAGAGGGAAGGGTACTTGCAGAGCACCAATAATACTGGAAAGAGTTGAGCAGTCTTACAAAGCTCAATCCTACCAGCAAGGGCAAGATTCAAGTTATTCCAACTAGAGCTCTTCCCATTGAATTCTGTCAGAGAGGATAAAGTAGCATCTACCTTACTTCTCCCAACTTTCACTTCGAACCACATGCACTAACTTTTTTTTTTCCTTCATCTTTCCTAGAACTTGTATATTTAAACATGGTTTGGCTCTTACTCCCTAAAGCAGAGGTCTAGAGTTCAAACCTCAGTGGAGGCGCTTGGGGGCGTGTGTGGTTACTACATAACTTTAAAAAAAAAAAAACTTATATATTTAAGAATTTCCTTGTTTTGTAAATGCATCATTGAAGTTATTTATTGTGTTTTTTTAGTGTATGACATACTCTTTCTCTAAGTGATATATTTAAGAATTTCCTCGTTTTGTAAATGCATCATTGAAGTTATTTATTGTGTTTTTTTAGTGTATGACATACTCTTTCTCTAAGTGATGTAGCTAATATAATTGTTTGTGGCATTATTAGATAAATAATGAAGAACTCTATAATTACGTAATCGGTACACTCACATAATATATTATCATTTGTGTGTGTGTGTGTGTGTGTGTGTGTGTGAGAGAGAGAGAGAGAGAGAGAGAGAGAGAGAGAGAGCATGGAGAACTGGACAATGCCATTGCATGGCAGACAATAGCAGTGTCCAGTTCTTTATGAAATTGATATTGCATATGTCATGGAATTATTCAATATACTGGTTCATGTGTTTTGTTGAGTTCGCAGTATTCCTTTTTATGGGTGTGAACTTGAATACCCATTCTTGTTCTGTCGATTGGTTTTGGTGGTATTCAGATTAGCCACTCTGGTTACTCCTTATATATAGGGTTCGTGGAGATTGTCTCGTAGTTAAATCAAACACTTTGTGATACTAATATCATGTTGTGGTGACACAGGAGAATTATTTCCATCTAGTTCAGCCCCAGTTTGTGAGTTGTTCTGGTTCCCAGGGATTAGTCACATCCACTGCCAAAGTTGAAAACAATGTTCAAGTAGTTGGAGCAAATAATGATGAACCTGGGGAGCTGAAGAAACTTGACAGCTTTGGGAGATGGATGGATAAAGAAATTGGTGGAGATTGTGATGATTCCTTGATGGCCTCTGATTCTGGCAATTATTGGAGCACACTTGATACTGAGAATGACAACAAAGAAGTATCTAGTTTGTCACATCATATGCAGTTGGACATTGTTTCTCTGGGCCCTTTTCTTTCCCAAGAGCAACTATTTAGCATCTGTGATTTTGCACCGGACTGGGCTTATTCAGGTGTTGAAACAAAGGTAGGCTTTTTTTTATTATTATTTTTTATTTTTTTAAAGAATGATCTCTCTCTTACACCACAAAATTACATAGGAACTTGTTACTTCAATAATAGATGCTAGACAGAGGTGGTCCATAATGGTCTTTTTTGCTTAGGTTATGATCACAGGTACTTTTCTGGGAGACAAGAAGCATTCTACTGGTTTAAAATGGTGTTGCATGTTTGGTGAGATTGAAGCTTCTGCTGAAGTTCTGACAGACAATGTCATTCGATGCCAAGTTCCTTTCCATTCTCCTGGGCGTGTGCCCTTCTATGTAACGTGCAGTAACAGGCTAGCCTGCAGTGAGGTGCGGGACTTTGAATTTCGAGAAAAACCATCAGGAGTTTCACTTCGTACCCATGTTAAAAGAACAACAGAAGATGAAGTGCATTTTCTTATACAACTGGCTAAAATGCTAGATTTAGGCCTAGAGACCAATTGGTTGAATTGTTCAACTGTTGAGTGTGACAAATGTAAGCTGAAGAATGATATATGTTCAGTTAAAAGTGACAGTAAATTTGATTGGGAAAGAATTAAGGAGGCGCTTATGGCATCTGGTGGGAATAATGTGGACTCCATAGATCTGTTGATTGAGAATTTTATGAAGGACAAACTTTGTGTGTGGCTATTCTGTAAAGTACATGGAGGAGGTAAAGGACCACATATTTTGGATACTGAAGGTCATGGTGTTATTCACTTGGCAGCTGCTCTTGGTTATGATTGGGCAATGGGTCTCATAGTTGCTGCTGGTGTTGGTCCTAATTTCAGAGATGCACGGGGAAGGACGGCGCTTCACTGGGCATCATATTATGGGAGGTGAGGTTACTCTCAAATTTTATTTTGAAGTTTCTAAATATACCTTCAGCAGCGAGCGTTTCTTAGTAATGAACTTATGGTAATTTTTTTAAAGTAATTGTTTTTTTTTCTTATTTTCGTTATGTCACATGCCCGTATGGATGGCAGCAATACATGAACCTAATTTGTGATGAATTACAGTACTTCGTGGAAATTCTTTTGTATTATGCTACATTACATATTTTGTGAATCATTTTCTTGACCTAATGTATTGTTTCTGATTGTTCTCCTATTGAAACTTGTTGGTGAAATTCTCTTCTACGATGTGATTTTACTCATTTTCCAGTGTATGTTTGAAATGATTTTCCTTAGTTTTCTTAATGAATTGAGAACCTGAAATTCATTCACACTTGTGCACTCGTACCCAGACACATTCGTAGATAAATGGATGCATGAGTTTTCACCAAACTGCCCCTTTACTGGATTTCCTGCAACTAATCGTGTGTGTTTCATCAACTTGAACTTTCAAACTATGTAAAATCCCAACCTCAACTTATACTTTCAAACATAGTCAAATCCCAACCTCCTTTCATCTATGGTTATAAAGCATTCCCAACCTTCACCCACTATATCTTGTCATTTGCAGGACTATCACAATGTTCTACTGTTAACTTGTATCAGTTTGGTACCAGTTCTAATGGGAAAGTCATTTTATGCGCTTGTATTACTTTGTCTATCTATTACACAAGCACACTTGTAGGAGTTTTCATCTAGAAGGCAATTGTAGCCTTGCTAACCATGTTTCACCATTCTAATGGAACTTGGTGGATCTTCTAAATAAATAAATAATATGTGTTTTATCGACGATTTGCAAATGTGTGTAATGTGCTGAAGATGTCTTGGGTTTAAAGTTGAAGTTTGGGAAGAGTGATATTGGCCTTTGGGTATTGAGGAGGATCTGGAATCTCTTTCAGTTTATCCAAGGTGTAGGGTTGGAAGTCCTTTGAGTTGGAATTTCATTCAATTTATCCTAGGTGTAGGGTTGGAAGTCCTTTTTTGGGTTTCTCATGTTAGCTTCTTTTACTACAACAGTTGTGGATGGAGTAATAAAGGGGGTCGACTTCAATTTTTAGCACTTCCTTGAGTTTGTTGTCGCTGTTTGTAACATCTTAATTTGGTAAAACCATTCCTCTGGCCTATTGAATGTTGTGATTCAAACAGAGATCGAAAGCTGTGTTTCATGGGAATTGGTCCTTGTTGAGGAGAGAAGAGAGCAAGCTGGAATTAGGTATGCAGAATACCAGCAACAGCTAGCTTGATACATCAACAATAGGTTTGTAATTGGACCTTCAAAGTGGGCAATCTGTTCTGAGGAAAATTTTCCAGAAAACCGAGGAAAAGGGTGCTAGAAAGTATGTGCTTTACTGGGAGGGGGCCATATACAATCTCCATACTGGGGAGTTCTGGCTTTTATCTCCTTGATATGATACTACGTTGCCCCAGTGCTTGCAGGGCACCAAAACCGTTTTCTAAGATTTAATGGCCCTGAAAATGCTAAAAAAAATTACTATTTCCTATATAGAATTTTGGGAATAAAAAAGGAGTTTGCTCCATCACCTGAGTTCCCCTTCGTTTATTTGTTTGGGAGAAATAAGTCCTGGCGTGCCTGGCGCCCTTTCTAAACCTTCCTACTTTGGCAGAATGGGAAACGAGACATGGACATGCATGACCCGACCTTTCCTGCTCTTGCAAAAAGGAAAGTCCTAGCTTGGCCAAGCACCCTAAGCCCCACCTATCCTAGAAGGATAAGACCTGCCAAGGAATGGCTGGGCACTTAACAACCTCTGCTCCGGTAGAAGAAATGCCCTAAAAGAGGACAGCTAGACGCATAGCTGCCACTAACTTGGCAGAGGGAAGCGAGCAGTCGAGCACCTAATAGCCTCTGTTTTTGCAAAAATAAATATAAAAATAAAATATGAATAACTATGCATTCAAAAGTTTTGCCCAGGCAAAAGAGATGTCCAACAAGTGAACTACTCGCTATCTTTTCTTGTTGAATTCTAGGGCAGGGAGTTAGGTGTTTTGTTCGAGGCATAAGCTTCTGAGATAAGGTTTTAGACTATGCAGAGGTGAAGAATCGCCTGTAAGTAACAAACATAATTTCCTATAGTAGACTTAAGCCAACCCTTAGGAGGTAGAGCTTCTTCTATAAGTGAACATAATCTGACTGGTCCTACTTTAGAGAATATTTGATTCAACACCAAAAATCGCTTCTCTTAGAAGCGAACTGAATTTGATACAGGTTGGACTTTCTCAAGAAGAAACCCGATCTTACACAAGCCAAACAGAGATTGGACATTCTCAAGAAGACTTAACCGACTCCCAAGGGGATAGCTTAATAGTAAGATTCTCACATCTCATCTTGGAGGTTGGGAGTTTAAATCCTTTCGGAACTCCCACAAAAAATTCCAGATAGTAGCACGGTACATAAGGGACTGGTGGTTTTAAAGTATACAAATTTTGTCTGCTTTGCACCCACTTGGTGTCATGGTTTTAAAATATGTCTACATAGGTAGTAGGCATCCTTCCTTATAACCGCCAGCTCATTCTTCCCCCAAACGATGTGGGATCACCTCCTGTTGGAACTCAGTGCCCTCCTTCGTACAACTTTCATTCGCTCGTGCATGCTCCCCCATATTCCTTCTAGAGATTGACTCTGATGTCATTGGTCATGACCTGCCTCACACTCTGCAGATTTACACCTTTGTGGCACTCAATTTTAAAATGTGTCTACACAGGTAACTTTTACTCCATCTTCATCAATAATCTTGTAGGCACCATTGGTGTAGATTTCTTGCACCACATATGGTCCATCCCATTTGGAGGTTAATTTCTTATCCATTCAATGAGTCATGATAATGGGTCTTTGTACAACAAGCACTAAGTCACCAATTTGAAAGGATAGAGGACAAACTCTCTTGTTGAAAGCATTCGAGAGCATAGCTTGATAACACTCTAATTGTTGTTAGGCTTCAATTCTTCTTTCATCTAATGCCTCCAACTCTTGAAGACGCAATTATGCATTCTCTTCATTTGTCAGTCCTTTTTGGATGGCAATTATTAATGAAGGAATCTGTTACTCAAATGGGAAAACTGCTTCAATACCATAAACGAGCGAATAAGGCGTTGCTTGAGTGGGGAGTACAATATGTTGTTTCGGTATGCCCTAAGAGTGCAACTTCTCCCCAAGGCGATTTGGGATGTCACAACCACCATTGATAATAATAATAATAATAATAATAATAATAATAATAATGTGAGGCACTTGTGCTGTATGCACAGATCAAAAGCTAGATTGGAGTGGTGGGAACGGATCATGCTAGTAAGAGGAAAGGCAATTAGGTCCAAGGACCTGAATCCGAAGGAGGCAATGGGCCATTGCATGAAACCAAGAGGAAAGCAATCAAAGCTTGCCATGGTCCATGTCATCATTAAAATCGATTATGGTGATAGGATTTTTACTTTTTAGGAGTCAAGAGAGAGCAGTGAGGATCACGCTTTATATATGGAGGACGATGAACTGTCAACAACATTTAATCATTCAAATGTGTGAGCGATGACTTAGACCTAGGGGAAAGTGAATAGGTCTTATGAATATCTATTTGTAATTAACTTTTTGCATCATGGAACCTAGTCCAGGTAGATCAAAATTCACCATTTTTGATCTCGATTAGTGACGCCCATCAAACTTGTTCTTTGTGAACCACTTGGTTGATGCTCCTAGCTTTGATTCTCTCAATCACATATAATATGGTATTTTAAAAATAAAATCCTAGATTGATTCTCAAAGTTCTCTCTCTACAATTATACATTCTCTTAGTAATACGTAAATAGTTGAAAGTTCCTTTAGAGGAATACCTTAGGACTGACTTGTGACCCCATATTTATAGCTAATATAGGAGAACCTTGAAGGATGGTAAGTGGAATCTTTTTAGGATCCTGATTTGAGAGTTTCCAAAAGTATATGTCGAGGTTCGACATCCTCACGACAAGCTTCGACCATTCAATCAATTACCATTTGATCGATGTACTATACTCTTAAGTAAAAACATAGTTTTGAAAAATGTTTAATTTTCTCAACTTAGAAAATTCATTTTCCAATAGCACATTCAATCTAAATCTTTGAGCCTCTCTAGGATCAATCTGGGTCATTTTAAGGTCTTTCTGTGGTCATTTTACCTGTGCAGAGGATGCAGATTTATCCCCCTTTTCTTCACAAATGTCTCTGCCTTGTCTTCAGTGATTGTACAAACAACTTTTTTTTTGATAAATAAGCAAATTCATTAAAAAAACGTTCAAAAGGGGAACGTGTCCCATAAACAACAAAGGGATCCTATGGTCCCAAAGAAGAAATAAAATCAATCATCTCCTCTGGGGAGGAACAAAAACAATACACTTTGACACATTACACCACAAGTTTTGAGTAGGAAATAACCAACACATGATTCATATTGATGAACTTAGCCAAATTTTCTGTTTCAACAAGTGTAATGAAAGGCTGTGGCTACAAAGTGAACCACAGAGACATAAGGAATTTACAAGGACCCTTTCTCAATAGGGATCAAAAACATTGATTCTTGGGCTCACCCAATGTATATCCAGTAGTTGTAATGCAGGTTGATACACACTCAGCTGTCTCACACTTTGCACACACCCTAGCTCACAAACATGTGCTCACAGCACTCCCCCTGTCCTAAGCAACCCTGCTTGGACCAAATAAGCTCTCACAGCATCTCAAATACATTATAAAAGATGTATAACAAATATGCTTGAGCTATTACACAAGATCAGAGTGAATAAGTAGCTTGAAGTATCAAACAACATCAAGTGCTCAATTGGTTTCTGCAGTATCAATGGTCTGAAGGGTAAAAAATGGGATGCGGCATCAATACAGACCAGAACTTGGTTCCCGCAGCCTTATATCAACAATATACACATGCTCAGATGACGAACTCAATGAG